ACTTCCGGAAATACCAGAATTTGACAGCAACTTTCTTATTTTAAATGGGCGTACCCATTTTTCATTACATACTTAAATTCTATGTAAAATTTGATGAATTTTGATATTAAACACTCTATATCTAACATTGACCGTTTTTGAGAAAAAAAATATTTAAAATTTTTGAACGAAAAAAACTGCTTGTCAAAAACATGTGTATAGCCTAAACGTCAAATTTAGTGATTATCACAGCCACTATGCCATGAAGAGAAAACATGTGGCTATCTATTTTAAAAATTAAATTGTTCGAATGTCATATAATAATGGCCGCAGCTGTCATAGAATTGAGCGATTAATAAATTATCATAAATCATTTTTTCAAATGGAAACCCACTTTTCTTATTTTACTAGTGAAAAGCTTTTCAATTCGTTACTTTTTAACTATACATGTTCCTATACCTAAAATAAATCGTTTTTAAGTTATTTAAGATTTAGTTTTAAAGCGTATATTTTTCTTGATTTTAACTAGTAGCCTAATGACTTTAAACGTCAAGTGATGTAAAGCGGCCCACAAACGGTCAATATTATTGCGCAAATCAGGGTTTACATCGAAAGTTGCACAAAATATTGTGTCAATCAAAAACAGTTTGATTTTTATTGTGCAATAGTGATTAGTTTGTATCGTGTGTGGATATAATTGTACAATAGTTCAGTATATTTTTGTTTTCTCTGCGTGTTTGTCTCGCTGCTATTTAGAATATTTAGATCAGTGGTTTGTCAGCAAATATGGGATCAAAAGCAAAAAAGGAATAAAGACGATGTATTATAGAAGTCATCGAAATTGTACCATTCTTTGCCAGCTTTATGAAATACAAAAATCAAAGAATATAGCAACAGAAATAAAAAAAAGTGAACAATATGATGAACTACTAGGGAAATATAAGGAAAAATTCCCAGACGCTGATAGAAAACAATAGCAGCTTGTTTTTTCTTATTCATGTTAACCAAAGTGCAAAACGGAACTAGTTATTGAACAAATTTATTGTACTGTTTGGAGATAACTAACAATTTTATTGAGCAATATTATTGCGCAAACATATTGACCATCTGTGGGCCCCTTAAAACAATAGATCTGGCCTATTGTGACGCTCTGTTCAAAAAGCAACATCATTTCCGAGCCAACTGTGCGCTGTTTTTTTTTTTGATCAAACGGAATATTAATAACAGAGTAGATAGATCGCCGAGTAGCGACAGAAATCGTCGGCTCTTTTGATGTGGTTTGACCAAATTTTCTTTCTCTCTCTTTTGACGTGTTTAACAGATAGACTACGTATTTAACTGCTCAACTTATGAAGTGGTCCTAGAAACATGGTATACACTGCTCATAATTTGAAGTGGAATTAATTATAAAGTTGTATACATATTTTTTTTTGTTATGTTTTATCCTTATTTCTAAATTTGAATGTATAAAATATCTTACAGCTAATAAATAATTAAAAAAACGATTTGTTGCCTGAGGTATACTTAAAATAAAGTGTATAGAGATATTTGATAAATGGCAACAGTGGCAACTTCGCTTCTTCATATAACAGATAACATACTTAATACGCGCAGCCGCAAAGAAAATTGAAAACGGGACTGTCGCTACTCGTCGGTTTACTTACTCTGTTAATAATATCAACTATTAGATATCACTAAAGAGCGAAAATACGAGACATATTTTTATCAATACACTTTGTAAACTCTTAAGCAGGCAGTATTTATAATATAGGAAATTCACATAATTCGTTTTCTGACAGAAGGAAATACAAGACGCTATGTCAAAGGAAGCTAGATAAAATCAAGAAAAATATACGTTTTCAAATTCAATAACTTAAAAACGATTTATTTTAGGTATAAGAACATGTATAATTAAAAAGTAACGAATTGAAAAACCTTTTCATTGGTGAAATAAAAAAGTGGGTTTCCATTTGAACAAAATAATTTATGATAATTTTTCAATATCTCAATGACATCTATCGCCCTTGTTATACGACATTTGAACAATTTAATTTTTGAAATAGATAGCCACATGTTTTCTCTTGATGGCATAGTGGCTGTGGTAATCACTAAATTTGACGTTTAGGCTATACACATATTTTTGACAGGTAGCTTTTTTCGTTCAAAAATTTTAAATACTTTTTTCTCAAAAACGCTCAATGTTAGATATAGAGTGTTTAACATCAATATTCGTAGAATTTTACAGAGAATTGAAGTATGTAATAAGAAATGGTGGCACCTATTTAAAATAAGAAAGTTGCTGTCAACTTCCGGTATTTCCGGAAGTGCCACCATATTGAAAATATTTTTAATCGATAGATCTCGTTGCAAAACAATGATGTTCAAAAAATCTCAGATCTAGATATTATGGTTCTCTAGAAACTTCTAATGCACGCTCAGCCTGGGACACCCTGTATACAACTCGATGTATATAAAAAATGCACAATCACCTGCCATTTGAAATCAAATCCATAACATAATTTTCTTCATTTCGCAAAGCATTGAAATTTTATTTACTAGACAAGAGGTCGATCAGCGAACCCACTAGACCCCCAGTCATTAATGTTAACTCCGAGAAAATTCCTGAAATAGACGTAGAAGAAATAAGAAAAGCCCTGTCCCAAATGAAAAATAACAGAACACCGGGAGAAGACAGAGTAACAACCGAAATGTTCAGATCTGGTGGACAACTTCTACTGCAGAAGATGATGGAAATTGTTAATAGATGCATTATGGAACAAAGAATTCCAGAGCTATGGCAAAACTCAACAATCACTCTCATTCACAAAAAGGGTGATAACACCAGACTCGACAATTATCGTCCCATCAGCCTGCTCTCGCACTTCTACAAAATATTCACAAAGGTGCTGACAAATCGCCTGTCAAACAAATTCGACTTCTATCAACCCTCGGAACAGGCAGGTTTTAGAAGTGGATATAGTACTGTGGATCACCTTCAGACAGTCCGTACTCTCATAGAGAAAAGCACCGAATACAACTTCCCTATATATGTCGCCTTTGTGGATTATGAGAAGGCTTTCGACTCTATAGAGCTACACGCCATCCTCGATGCCCTACAAAATGCCAGAATAGACTACAGATACTCGGGCATAATATCATCTATTTACAAATCAGCTACAATGACTGTCAAACTGGATGACATAAATATCACAAATAAAATTAAAATGGAAAGAGGAGTCCGATAGAGAGATACTATTTCCCCCAAACTTTTTACACTGGCCCTGGAGGACGTATTTAAGAAGTTGAACTGGGACAAGAAGGGTATTAGGGTAGATGGTGGAATGCTTAACCACTTGCGCTTCGCTGATGATGTCGTTGTCCTGGCCTCATCGTTAGAAGAACTTCAAACAATGCTCGAACAACTTCACCACACATCTGCGCAAGTAGGTTTAAAAATAAATTTGTCTAAAACTAAAACCCTAAATGAAAATGAAGAGCAAGTTATTGTTAATGGACAAAGGATTGAAAAACGTTAAAGAGTATATATATCTAGGTTATGCCATAAAACTCGGCAAGGAAAATCAAACAACCGAAATTTCTAGAAGGATTAAACTCGGATGGGCAGCTTTTGGTAAACTTAACTTTATATTCAAAAGCAAAATCCCAAATAGCCTAAAAAGAGACGTTTACAACAAATGTGTCTTGCCTGTCATGACCTATGGTTTGGAGACTATGACGATGACGGCACGAAGTGTGAACAGGTTACGAGTGAGCCAAAGAGCTATGGAAAGAGCCATGATGGGTATCAGTCTTCGCGACCACATTAGAAATGAAGACATTCGCCGACAGACGAAGATAACGGACATCGTAGAGAGGATAGCTAACTCTAAATGGTCTTGGGCAGGACACATGGCCAGACAGTCCGAGGAAAGATGGGCAAAAAGACTTCTTTGCTGAAGGCCACGCCTATCAAAACGCCCAGTCGGCCGACCTCCTAAAAGATGGACTGATGATATCTAAACCGTAGCCGATAAGAACTGGATGAGGAGGGCACAGAATCGAAACGAATGGAAGAAACTAACAGAGGCCTACATTCTGCAGTGGATGAGTAATGGCTGAGAAGAAAGAAAAAAAAAGACAAGGGTTAAGGGTTTCTACGCCGTAAATGACTTATATTTTGATAATCGAATTTGATCTTGTAAACACTGGTCTAATATTTGCTATTACTATATTTACTATAAACTTACTAAATATTTTCGAATCCTATTTTTATTTTTTTATTCTTGGACATTGTAAACATTTATAAATGTTTATTTTAAACAATAAGACCGACAATGTAATTTGTATACTTGTTTTGTGTTCTCTTTTGTTTGTTGACTTGTTTTGTTACTTTGTTACTGTTTGTATTTTATGTAATTTACCTTTGTCTACAAATTGTAAAATTTTTTGACAATAAAGGCATTTATTTTATATTTACTTTAGACGGCCTGTACTTTCTTTGCTATAAATAAATATGGTAATGGTAAATCAAACAGAATGTTCAAAATCCTACGCCAAGCTTTCTAACATATAAAATAGTTTTTCTTCGTATTTCAAATTGAACACCCTGGAGAAATGATGGAGAAATAAAAAATGAACATTCTTTGTATTTAAAGTATTTCAAAATTTTTAACGGTATCGCAGATATTCGCGGTTATATTTTTCATATTTTTCATATGGCATTTTCCACAGTAAATTTTTATCAAAGATTTTTTACCCATTGATTTTTTTCTCGTATTTTACTGTTGAGAGAGCCATATGAAATAATACTGCGGGTATCTGCGAAACAACTAAAAAATTTGAAATACTTAAATTTGTGTATAGTATGTTCATTTTTTAACTCTCCATCTAATAAAGTAATAATAAAGAAGAAAATATATCAAATTTGACTGAATGAATTTTGTCTAATAAATAAACAGTAATATTTATTATTCTGTTATTATTATACATTTACATTACATAATACTATTATTTTTTAATAGGAAGCTGCATGGAAGTGTCATATATGGAAGAAAGGTCGAGATTCTGGCAAAAGCACCAAACCTAGAAGAAAGTTTCATTTTAAACAGATCGCAAGGTAAATAAAATATTTTTATGTGTGTTAAATAATAAATCTATTTATTGTTTACCGATTAATATACAATATAAATTTACACTACTATTAAAAAATATAAAATTTTAAAAATTGCAGATATTTCTATTGTCACATTACAAAATTACGTTCTCTCTTTATAATACTTATCTTCTTAAATATGACTGGAAAAATTTTACCCTATTTCAAGAATAATATTTGTTGCACCTACAGTTTTCAGATTGCATTGAAAATGACCTTTGTATTAAATCAATCGCATTTTTTGTTGCTAAATTGAAACCCTTCGTCACTGCGGGTAGTTTTAGAAATGTGTGATATATATATACAGGGTGAGAGTTTCCTACGATATTCTCTATGGGTATCTCGGAAACTACTGAAGATAGAGAGTCGGTTAAATGGGGATAAAATTGCAGTTTCGTATGGTCATACATATGCGCCTTTCAGATTTTTGAAAAAGTTCATGGCTTACTAGATATTTCGAAAAAAACAAATTTCGGCTATTTTAAAAATTGTCTCAAATTCCATTATAACCTATTTTATACAAAAAATTTTCAGATAAAAGTTGTAGATAATCGCATCCTTAATGAGACTGTGTCCTCCGCTTTTTTCTAAAACCTGTCATTTTTGACATATGATACAAATATATGTTTTTTTTAAATGGAAACCATAGTTGACCATGACTTCATAAAAAGCGCCATTTTTTAAGCTTTTTATCGATATAAGCTATAATATTTTTTTTTTCGAAAAATTACTGAGTTATAGCCAATTCTTATCATTTCTAAACAATTTCACTTAGTTAGCCATGAAAACAAGTTTATTCGCCGTTGCTCTCAGAAATGTGAAGCTGTCACTTCCAAACTATGTAAATTAAAATAAACAAAAATTGTAAATATGAATTTTTCAAATGAAGAAAAGCGTGTAGATACTCGCGGATCAATAGAGTGGTTCCAACATGACTTTCATTATGACCCCACCCCTATAATTATTAAAGAAATATTAAAAATTATTTATATGATAATTATGCAAACTCAGGGTTGGAAGAGGCGGACCAATTTTATGGCCTTCCTCGATCACCTGACCTATACATTTTAAATTTTTTTATGCGGTATGGTTAACAATAAGGTTTACAAAAACGTATGAATTAAGAGAGGCATTCGAAGTGGCGGGCAGTACGAGAGAAGTTTAATTAAGTCGACCGGTCCTTCTGTGAGAATAGGTAGTAATTCAGTTTTAAAAAGATGCAACTCAAAACAATGCCGGATTTTTTGAACATTTTCTAAAATGACTTAAAGTGTATGTAGTGATATTATTTTTTAAGTCTTAGTTTGTGTAATGTAAATTGTAAAGAACCGTTTAATAATGTGTTTTGCCTTTTTATAAATTATAAATCATAACCGAATAAGAATAACATGCAATCTAAGTGAAATTAGTCAAGAAAGATCAGAATTGGCTATAACTAAATTTAACTTTTCTAACATGTCTTGAAAACCGTCCTCTAAAAAACGTAACATGTAACATTCACCGGTCAATGTATCCTAGAAAATGTATGGTCAAGAAAAGATGAATCGATAATCCTACACGTTTTTCTTCATTTGAAAAAATCATATTTACAATTTTTGTTTATTTTAATTTACAAAATTTGGATGTAACAGCTTCACATTTCTGAGAGCAAAGATTAACGAACGAGATGAAACATGTTTCCATGGCTAACTAAGTGAAATTGTTTAAAAATTATAAGAATTGGCTATAACTCAGTAATTTTTCAAAGAAAACATATTATAGCTTATATCGGTGAAAAGCTGAAAAAATGGCGCTTTTTATGAAGTCACGGCCAACTATGGGTTCCATTTAAAAAACATATGTTTGTGTCATATGTCAAAACTGACAGGCTTTAGAAAAAAAAACGGAGGACACAGTCTAATTTAGGATGTGATTATCTACAACTTTTATCTGAAAACTTTTTGTCTAAAATAGCGTATAATGGAATTAGGGACAATTTTTTAAATAACTTGTTTTTTTCGAAAATTGTTTTTTTCGAAAAATAGTAATAAATTAGTAAGCCATGGACTTTTTCAAAACTCTGAAAGGCGCATAGACCCCACAAAACTGCAATTCTTTCCCCATTTAACCGACTCTCTATCTCCAGTAGTTTCCGAGATACCCATAGAGAACATCGTAGGAAACTCACCCTGAATATATACCATTCTTTTCTAAATTACAATATTTCTATACAACACGATGAATATTAATATTACATGGGTGTGTCCCATAGATACATTAAAATAATGGAGGGGATCAATGACCTAATACAGATTCGTGTTCTACGAGGTCGGTTCTGTTTGGTGCAAAAATTACCTAGGTGAAAAATGCACGTAGAATGTAGAATGAGTGAGAGGGGGGCTAATCAATGCGAGCTTAAAGATCTATTGTGCCCCCTTCGTTGACATTACACAGTCTATAACCCATCATACCTCTGTTGTAGAGGGGACAGGGTATTTCCCATCCTCCTCTGACAACAGATGTTTTTCCTCCGAAGGTACACACCCTTCCAACGGTTGGAGGTTGGCCCTCAGTGCCCTACACAGTCGAGGAGCTTGCCTCCGGCTGAGATACCCGTGAGGTGGAGGCTGGAGGAACTGTCTCCATTTTCACCGCCTCTTTAACTTGGTCTCTCCTTAGACCTGATACCGGTGTTGTCCGGTATCTATAATAGAGGATATGCCCCTCTTCCTCTATTGCCTCCTTGGATTTGAGGTCAATTCCTATTGTGAGGACCTGACCATGACCCTCATCCCTCGAGTTCATGACTCGCCAACTCGATATCCTTACATTGAAGATGGATAAGGCTCAGCAGGTAGGTGGTGTCTTTCCTCTTGCTCCTCGGCAAAAAGGCCGTGATGGTCGCCCCTTTAGGGATGTTTTCTCCCTTCATTGTAACCAGTTCCAACCCCTGCCAATTTTTAAGCTTGGGTGCGATTTCCACCAACCAATTCGCCAATTCTTGAGATACACAATCTATGAGGATCATGCCCACCTGAAAGTGTATCCCCGCAAAACGTCTTGCTACCTAGGCCGTTTTGACTCTAACTCCTTCAATTAATAGAGAATCTAGGATACACTAAAAAAATCGAGCAGTTATTTCTGAACCAAAAAACTATTACATAGCTAATACAAGTTATATTATAGGGCGGTCAAATTTACATCCAAATTGTTTGGTCGAGCTCTATCGCGAAGAATCAAGGCCACAGTTCTATATGCAACAGAAACTGGAAAATCCGAAAACTACGCTAAAAAATTGGGCGAAATTTTTGGTCACGCTTTCAACGCACGAGTTTATTGCATGGACGACTACGATATTTCCAACATAGAACACGAAGCTTTATTGTTGGTTGTTACGTCGACATTTGGAAATGGAGATCCGCCGGAGAATGGCCAAGTAAGTATTAATGATATTTTATACTAGTAGTTGTTTAAAGTTTTTGTTCATTATTCTTGTTGGGGATTTATTTTTATATTAATGTTAATCATTAAGCAACCAGCACACTCATCGAATATGTATTTCCTCTCTTTTTTGTAAAATTGTCACTCTAAAGTTTATATAACTAAATCGCTGTTTTTTTAAAGAGATGTTACTTGTCTTGTCTTTCATTCAATTCATTATTCGAATTCTCAGAATGTCGTTAACAAAAGTTTTATCTTAAAATAAAATTTTAATCAATCACATTTATTTATCCCCATCATTTACCGGATTAATAATACAAAAATTACAGTTCAATTACAAACAATTCATTATTTATAATGATTTACGGTAATTTTATTAAATTATACGAATATTCTCTGTGATTATTGGTTTGAAGAAAATATGACAGAACCTCCAATGAAAATGCGAGTTACCAACTCTAAATTTTAATTCTGAACTAGCAAATGAGCTAGATGCTTTGTCTAGACCGTTATTCAGAAGCTACAAACCTAGCGATGAAAATATGCATGAAAATTTACTTCCTAGCACACAAGCAGACCATTGTTAGGCCGGATTCGATCGCGCGACAAAGATCTTGCACCTAATCGCAAATAGGTACGTGCCCACTGACAAGATTTCAGTAGTGACCGATTTTAATCGGGCGATATTAGTCGTACGCGATGCTGCTTGTACCGTCTTTGGTCGGCAGTCGGCAGTTATTTCTTCCACTGTCACACATTTTGTGTAATTTGTATCTCGTTTGGAAATATACGCCCGCACCATGTTACATAAGAGGTTAAGCTGTCTTTCGACATGCGTGTCGAAAGAGGCCGCGTGTCACGACCTTGATTTTTTACTCCCAACGCGCGTAATGAAGTTTCACTTCAAAAAGGAGAACAGAGACACGCGGACACATTTTACATATTTAAACAATGCTGTGAGTGTATGATTTATTTCTGTCTGATCTGATGATGCTCGTATGAGCGAAAGACGTGTCACATAGCTTATATGCCGTGGTTTAATTTTAATAAAATTGTATGAGACCGAGACTTTGAGTCTTTTTTCTTCTTTTTCACTTGATAGTTCTAGGGATTTTATGAGAGAGGAGAAATTAATCACCGCGACATAGATGTATTGTGCCCCTTTTTCTTGGATTATAAATCATCATACAGGTCCCAGGGCTTTGACAAAATTCAGTATATGAGACGGTTTTGCAGAGGTTAATCTCCGATATCAGTCGTACTAAAGTTTATGGCACGAATAGTTTTCTTCTCAGCGTACTTAGTTGATGTGTTCTAGTGTTTCACCATTTTTCTCACAGAATCTGCATTCGCCGTCTTTTTTAGCTTCAATCTACTGAGGTGTTCATTAAGGAGACAGTGTCCTGTTAAAAACCCCGTGACAATCGGAAGATTGTTCTTAGTTAAATCATGGAAAACCTTATATTTTTCTCGATCGTAAGTCCTGAGAAATTTCTTCAAGGGTTTTAGACCACTGGATTCCAATTCCAGTGTTGATAGTTACTCTGCAATATAAATATGTCCAGAAAGAAGGATGGCGTGTCCTTGCTCGTTGCACTCATATATGCATTTGTAAGGAAACGTTTCCGCACAATGATTTCATCGATGTTCCCTCATCATAAATGGGAACGTTTTTTCTATTACAACACTAGCTGTGTTCCACTTGGTAAGTCAAAAAATAGTTTTCTTTAGTAAATCTGATAAAATAACGTTTAGAGAGGTTTACGGATGTTTTCTAAAGTCAGGCGTCTAAATGCTAAACCCGTCAAGTCACACATTTTTGAAAATTGAGTTCTATACACCATTTTATTCGTTATCCAAAGAGCAATCAAATTTCATAATATTTTCTTGCAAATATCGACATTACCTATCTATAAAATATTTAGTATGGAAAATCTCTAGTCTAAATGCAAAAAGCGACAAGTCCTATCAGAATTAAAGTTCAAACACCGACATGTGCCTCGTTAGCCAATAGAAATGAGTTAGTCAGATCATGTGACAATGTGACCTGATTAACTAAGAAAAGTGCAGAAGTTTTGTTCTGCTGAAAATTTAAATTTTGATTTGGTTTGGTTGTTTAATCCTAGTTAAAAGCTAAGTGTATTATTATTTCTTGCCTCCTTTTGTTTATCTTCCAATAAAGTTTCAATAAAATAACACAATCCATTTTATTTTGATTACATTCAACATCGTTTTTAGTCAAAACCCGACATGTCACAGCTCTTTACATGCAAAACCCGACATGTCCAAATTAAAATCCCAATTTTTAAGAAAGCTCCCTGAATTAGATCTTTATGCATGATATTTTCAAAAAATAATGCGTCGGATAAATTCGATACTTTAGATTTATTATTTTTTTAACATTTATAATATTTTAAATTATTTTTTGTGTTTTCTGTAAAATATCTTTCAATGGACTTGTCGGGTTTTGCATTTAGACGCCTGAAGTACCGTATGATCGAAAAAAAAATGGCGTCCAGTTAGCTTGGAAATGACGATCGATGACATTTCCCATATAATTTTACGTATAAAATGACAGCGATCTTCATTTCATAGCCATCGCTGACGCCGTTTTTATTCGATCATACGGTACCTAATACTTCACTTTCTTTAAGAATATGAGTTAATTAAATTAATCACCTGATAGAGTTTATTTAAACATTCATATTTTAAAACACCCATGTCCAAATCTTAATCCCAGGTAATTTTTATTCAATTTAATATTTTTATAAAAATCGATATCCAAAAAAATCAATGAAAATTTTAATGTGTCAAAAAATTTTTTACTGCCTATCCTTTAACATTTTTAACAAATTTTCTCTATAAGCTTAGGTAATCCGTATTTTATTTCTACTTTTAACAATTACGGCAATTGGTACTCGTTTTTAGCAAGCCCAGTTGCGGGAAATAAAATCTAGTTTAATAAATGCGATTTAAAAGAGGTGGATCTCTATTCAAATTACCAACCGGTTTCGTATACGCAGAGTGCCGTAGCTTTGAAGTGGGCTTAATGCATTTTTCAATTAATTGCCAAAGTTGCCCTTTATTGTCTTTGGCTATTTTAAAGTGGATTTGGATAAATTGAGCTTAACGTACTGCCCGTTTTTCTGTCATACAATTTTAAATTAAAAAAATAGATTTGAATATAAACAGAATAAATCTATGTGATGTGATTAGTATTGTTTATGAAACTCTTAAAATATATTTAGTATTATCTTTTTAATTTAAATTTAATATTAATTTATTCTATTATTTATTGTATACGCATATGTGGTACTAGGGAGGTTATTCCAAAGGGCTGAAACACGCCTGCGTCAATTAACCTTGAACCACAATACACTTTATTTTAAATCTTCAAAAGTTCCTACCAATTCGTTACCGTTTACTCGTGCGAGTAATTATTCCTGATCCAGATACAGGGTGGCCACTCAGGAGAAGACTACAGCCCCCCAAGGTAAGCCGACCTTGTACCACGTGTTTTATTTTAGCAGGAATTTTTATTTTATCGAGTATATTAAAAACAATCAATCATTTCTTTATTTTCTTTCTAAATCTTTTTCTTGGTCGTTCGTAGCCGGATAACGCCGAACATAGCGAACTTTTGAAAGTAAAAAAAAAAGTTATTTTTTTCTCTCTCCTATTTTTCTTTTTTTTGCATTTAGATTTTCTATCAATCTCTATTTTCTTACATTCATTTCTATAAAAAGTTTACATTAACTACAGTTATATATTTCCCTAAGATTTAAATTTTCATCTTTTTCCTTTTTTTCTCTCTTCGATATTCTTATCAGCGCAAGACAGCATCGCCAGTCCCATTCCGCGCCTGACCATTTTCGATTCCACCGATTTGCGCGATAGCCAGCGGACATTCTATCGATGGTCAGTACTGGTCAGTAGTAATTGCGTCGTCCAAGGGAACTGTTCACCAAATCAATAATTTTACTGATAAGCATACGCACTTATCTGTTGTTATTTTTATATTTATACTACGAAGGAGATTCAAATAAATAATATTATTTTGTACTTTATTTCATAATTTAGTAATTATGGCTGAACAAATACGCTTAAGAAAACTGAAAAGCAATAGAAGTAATTCTATTTCAGAGATTCAGTATTTATTACAGTTAGCAGAACGTACCAAATCTGATAAATCAGTTCGCAGTTTATTTAAAGTTAGATGTGCAGAACTTGATGCTCTCAAAGATGACTTAATAAAACAGCATCAAAATATTATTTCTAGTCTTGCAAATGAAGCTAACACCGATTTAGAACCAGAAAATGTTATAAGAACAGCATTTTTTAATGGTTTTTATGTCGTAAAGTCCATGTACGTAGACTTATGCGAAATTGATACTGCAAATTCGCAAAAAATGTTAAATTATTCTATGAATGCTACTACTTCAGGTACTTCTAATGAACATAATTATCATATAAAACCTCCAAATTTAGATATTCCTAAATTTAATGGTGATTATAGAACTTTATCTACATTTATCGATCTCTATATATAATGCTCTTATACATAATAATCCAACATTAACGCCAATAGAAAAATTTCGTTACCTTCTTTCGTTAGTCGAGGGTAAACCATTGGGTGTTGTTAGTAGCCTGCCAATGACTTCAGACAATTATCAAACCACATATGATAACTTTGTTGATCGATACAGTAACGTAAGATTTCGAGCGCAATCGCATTGGTATGCTATTAAAACTGCCCCTAAAGCCATTCGCGATCAACCTGAATCTCTTAGAAACCTTTTGGACACATTTTCACAAAATCTCGCCTCTTTAAAAAATTTAAATTTTCCAGTTGAATCTTGGGACTTCATAGTAGTTAATATGTTGTTGGAACGGGTTGCTGATGATTTAATTACAAGGCTTGAACTTTCTCTTGCCTCAGGCACAATACCAAAATTTAAAGAATTATTTGAATTTTTAGAAAAATGTTGTAAAACT